GAGGTATTGACAATTAGGGCCCTTCCTAGCAATGAAGTGAATGTGTTCCCCCATTGTCCCAGCTTTGGTATGTACTTTGTCTTATTGGGGTCATTTGACCTGGCACCATGGTTCAATTCCTTCATGGTTAGGTCGGGTATAGTCCAGATGGAGACGATATACAACATTATGAAAAAGATGAGGTATTGATGGTTCCCCCATCGTCCCATTTTGTTGATTTGATTGGTCAACAAGTTCTGTGCCATTTGTGGGGCTGTGGTGTTCAACCTCACGTCCTGTACCGTCTTTCGGTCAGAGTGATTAAAAATGCGGAACAGGCCGTGGAAATGGGGTGTGCCAAGGATTTTTGGAAAATGGAGTGTGGGTACACAGACGAAACTGAAATCCCCCGTGCGGCTTCAATTTTAGTGAGAAATGGCCATCGCCAATTGGGAAAGAAATAGTGCGTACTTATTTCAAACGTTTGTTTAATCCAAAAAGTATCTTTGAACTTCCATGCAAACTACTCGACGTCTTTTCGAACGGAAAGGCAGGTGGGCGTATGCACGTGGGATCTCGTTGTCGAATTAAGTCCCGACGCCACTCGTTACAGAGCTCGGAATCCGACGTGGATGGGCTCAACCTGGGCCCCCTTTCCTTGTGTTCGTCCTCGCCACGTGCCTGGTAGTGGAACCCCTTTTCCCGATAACGCTCGGTGTGGCGACACTCGCTACACAGAGTGTTGGGCCAATGAGGTGCCTCCGCCGTCCACAGGATGGGAATCAATTCGTTAAAAGGCAATAATAAGGAGTACGACGGAAAGTGATTATCAATAATGACAAAACCAGCATCTACGGATCCCGAGCACCTTGTTTCGGGAGGAAAGTAGTAGTGCCCTTCGATCTTTGGGACAACTTCTCGTATGTCCCACTCACATGCACGTGTCTTGTCCTCATTATACGGGAACGGGCGCTGTGGGGATACGGGAAGTCGGTGCCCAGTCGGATTGGTGTAATCGGTCCCAATGGCATAAGCAATGCTGATTGCGTTTTTCAACTCGATCCGTTATGCGATCAAAGGAATAAATAGACACAACGCTAGGTTCTCATTATCTTCCATCCACAGTACAGGCCGACCTGAGGCATGACTTTATGCAACCCGATCCAATCAAGAAGACAACCATCATTCATTCAACGAAGGAAATAGAAACAAACTATGTCCAAGGATTAGATGCCCCGAAAAAGTTGTCAACTACATACAAGCATGCTTCTCCCTTAACTGATTTTTGTGTTCGACTGAGTTCACCCTATGGTACTCTACTTGTTAAAAATCAGCGGAGGCAGAAGCTCGCTCATTTCCAAAAAGGGAAAAAGACATACCATTCATTTGCACGAGTGAGGAAATAGAGTCGATCAGGCATCAAAATAATTATATAAGAATCCTAATTCGTTATCGTCATCAAAGCAACAACTCAATCAATGCATATATGAAAATGCCTTTCAACTGACTTGTATCGATGTTCCTGTGAGTTCGCCCAACGAGTTGTGATCATCAAAGACAAGTGGGGATAAGAGATCACTCATGCATAAGCCATCATATACAAAGGAGCAAAAGGAGGGATTGGGCAAGATCACCCGAGCTCGCTGGTATCTCAAATTCAACGATACTCGTCCTCGCGAGATCTGATTGAATTCAACGAGACGAGCAAGACAGGACCTCAGGAGTTGGTAGAGGTCAGGGAGTCATCAGTTCATTCGGACATTCGTAAAGAAAATATTAAAAAAGAGAGAGAGGGGGAGAGAGACAAAGGTGTGGCTTGACTGAAGAAGAGGACTAAGGAAAAAGGAGTTACGAGCACACAAGTAGATATGAGAAAAATCGGGAATCCGCCATGGACTTAGCTTTCAAAATAAGAGGAGGAACCGAAGATCAAGGTGCGCAACCCTTCTGCTCTTTGATCATGGCCCCGGGCCATGCAACCACTCGTACACACTTTCTTGACCCAGGTACTCGCGATCCCGATCGCCACATACCAACCTCCACACCACAGAGATTGTCACCCCGCCAACTCAACTTCTACATCGACTTGCCCAGATCCCGCAGTCCATTGGGGCCCCCCGGCGCATAGCCTTGCAAAACTACAGTCAGCTCGTCAGGTCGTTTCGACTCGCCGCACACATCATCTAGCCACGGCTTCCTTGAAGCTGGTAGATGGGTTGAGAGAGAGTTTTTCGGATGTGCTTGCGGGTTTTATAGTTGTGAAGAGGGAAATAGAAGATGGGAGAGAATGGGGCAGGGGTAGGCTGGAGTGAAGAGAATAAGGGTTAATCGCCCGGGGAAAGTCATATCGATCCCCGCGAGCTCTTTCACAACCAATCAGATCACAGTGTGAGGGGATTAATCCTCCTTACACGATGCCATCTGATGACTCTAACACTCTGGGGGATGGGAATCGGTAGGGAGTTCCTGTATAGGGATGAAGGCGGGAAGGAGGGGGGCGCGAAGAGTACTGCGGAGCAGGACCAAGATTCAGACGGAAGGGGAGGGAAAGAAGCGCAAAGGGAGAGGGGATGGAAAACAGTTACGGGTGGAAGCGAGAAGGCACGGGGGAGAGAAAGGTGAAGATGGCATGGGGCATAGCGGGAAGCAAGGGAAGTTTGCATGCATGGCGCTGGCACAGAGACAGGTGTTGAGCTCTGGCAGCCTCTGGATTGACGGATCTTTGCGTAAGAAGACGGCGATGGCTTCCATAACAAATAGGAAGGATGAATATGCTAGCAGATCTCCTTATTGAACTGATCGAGAGATCAGATAGCCTTTAGACAGGAGCCCATTGACCTGCACATATCCTGAGGCATTGTTATATAGGATTCTGACCCCATTTTTTGAAGTTGGGTCCAACACCCATTTTTTCCATGCTGGTGTTGAGGAAAGCCCAGTTAACTTGGTCATAGGCTTTCTTGAAAACAAGAAACATGATTGCTGTGTTCAACCTCTTCTCCTTGACTTTCCTCTCTGCCTCATTTAGAGTTAAGACGCTGTCCAGGATGTACCTCCCTGGGATAAAGCCAACTTGGTCTATGTGAAAGCATTTGTCAGCGAGGTCTAGTGTCCTGAATGCTAATGCTTAGCCAGGATTTTGTAGGGGAGGGTGAGTGGACAGCATTCTTCCGTAGGAGGCTCACCTGACCAATTCAGAAGACCACCAAAGAATCATAAAACTCTTCACAAGGAAGCTAGGAGGGTTAAGGAGGAGATTCAGTCATCAAACAACAATCCAAGAACAAAAGTTACGACTATTCTTATACCGAAGTCTTCCCGATTCTTCTCGGCAGGATCAGAGTAAAGGATGGAAGCGGAGTGCGATGCAGGGAGGTGCTGCCTGATGGACCTGAAATGGAAAGAAGAGGAGTTTAGACTTGTCAACATCTATGCACCTAACAACCCATCAAAAAGGACAAAGTTTGTTTTGACAGTGTGACAGCTAATAACACCTCTCTCAACTTGCATCATAGCAGGGAATAAAAATGCTGCTCTGGACCCGAATAACGATAGAATCTCTCGGGCAGCGGCCTCTCAAGCCTCTTTGGAAGCGGCACCAGTCCAAACTCATGATGGATCAGAACTTAGTGGATCCTTTCCACACATTATACCCCGACAGAAAAAAACATTTTCCTTGGTCAAGAAAAAACACGCCCACCACACGGCCTTTTCTGGGATTGACTACTTCCTTGCCTCTGAAACTCTAATGGGAACTAGTAAGGCGGCGGATATTCTTGCACTTGCCACGTACGTGATATTGGACCATAAACTAATCGAGATGATCCTCAGCTTTGACCAATATATCACTAGAGGAGCCAGCTTTCATAAACTGAACAATTCCCTTCTTCTAAGCCAGGTCTTCCAGGAACAAATCGCTTCTTCTAAGCCAGGTCTTCCAGACAAGAACGTTGTCAGAAGTGAAGAGGCACATTCCTAGACGGCCAAGACAGATGGGAGTGGTTTCCAGAGAGCAACCTCTCTCTGTCTCAATCAGTGGCACTCTCTTCTTCTGGTTTATCTCACATTACGTCTCCATCTCCCACTTTCATCATGTGAGCTTCTTCCTCCACGTGAATGCACAAGGAGGGACCTTTCTTCGACGTATGTTTTCCCTCCTCGAACCTCACAATTATGACGATGTATGTGTGTGGTGCATCTTGAGTCTGATGCGCCAGATTGCTTTCCCCCCCCCGTCTTCCGCAGTATAGTTCTTGCATTGTATGTGCATGATATGCATCTCTGTCTTCCTGTGGTGTTGGATCGGCACATAGCCTATCTCGGGATAGGCATGCATGACGCTTCCCAGAATGGATATGGAGTCGGGCCCATAAGTTCCTTTTTTCTTCAAGGTCGGTATGCATATCACATTCTTTTTGCCTCTGCCATTTCCCTGTACTCCGCTTGTAAGTAGAGATGCACCGGTTTGCCTTCTTTAGGGTTACGCAACTTGCACTCGGTATGGCGTTGTGGTCAAGAACTGATGTGCACAGCAGTAGTAACTCACACTACACTCTTTATTTGGCAGTACATTTGCAGGTCTGGAACACGGGAGGCATCATCTTTTTGATACGTCTGGTTTCCTTTTCAGTCTGCAGTTGCATGGATGATGTGGTATACTTTTTTATCTGTAAAAGCAGAGTGCTTAGTCCCCATTGCTTCTTTCATGGAGTCTTGAATCCCTTGTTGGTTCTATGTCTTAAATTCTCACTGATAAACCTAATCCTGGTTTAGGGATGATGGGTGAGTAGGGGGAGAAGGATGCACAGAGAGAGATGGCGAGTAGCAGAGCAAGTGGTCGTTCTGCCCCCTCATTGTGCTTTTGTCTTTTCAGTGTTTCCCCTTCATACTCCGTGCAATAGTCCACCGTTTTTACCCTTGTATGAACATTATGGTGTCAGCTGTGAAGGTTGTGATGTGAGCTGTGATGCATGCACAATCAGGGTGCTGATGACAGTTGTAATTTCTTGTCTTGTTAACAGCGTTTTGGATCTCTTGAAACCAACAAAGGGCAAAATGCCATGGAAAAGACAACAAGAGAAGTCCGATGACTGGTTAGGTGAGTTCAAGCGTATGCCTGCCGGCTTTCTGCCAGGAATCGATTGAAGTGTTTGCCTTCAACCTTTCATTCTTTCTGTAGTTGAGTGGTTGATGTAGTTGTAGTGTTTGTGGAGAAATGTGACAACTGTGAAAAACTCCTGCCCCTTTCCCCGGTACTGTTATTCTGTCTTTCTCTCCTCACCTGCACTCCTTCTATCTTGGAAAACTTCGGAAACAAACGAAATGGACTCACAGTACAAATGTAAAAAAAAAAAAAAAAAAACAGGCAGAAAAAAAGGTTAACTGTAGATATGGTGAGATACAGGCAAAGCATACATCCACACGTACACAAGTACACTGTGAGTACACACAAAATGCACACTAAAAGAGTACAAGGTACAATGATTGCTCGTTTGCACCCCGCATTTTTTAATTTTATTTTTATTTTTTGGGTCCAGAACCCCTAATAACCCCACCAACACCCCCATACCCGCCCCCAATACCCCCATACACCCCCATACACCCCCCCCAACACCCCCAAAACGGCCCCCAACACCCTCATACACCCCCCATA